TCATATTATATTTATTTTTTATAATATTAAATATTACGAATTACTTAATGTTTAATTATAAATTAATTTAATTAAACAATAAATATATATTAATTTTAATATGAGCTGAATTCAATATATATTTTTTATTTTTTCAGGGTTAATTACCGACGCCATTCTTGTCGGTAAGTAGAAAAACAGTAAATAAAAAATGGCGCCCGAAAAAATTGGCGACTAAAATTTTGGGGATAAGCTGAATTCAACATATATATTTTTATTTTTTCAGGGTTAATTACCAACGTGACTCTCATCGGTAACTAGAGAAATCAAAAATGGCGCCTGAAAAAATTGGCGCCTAAAATTTTGGAGACGATTTGAACCTGCAGCGAAGATCTTCACTGTCAGACGTGGCTCTTGTCGGTGATCTAGTAAGACGGCCAACTATTTCCGCGGCATTGGCAGACGTGATGTTCGTCGGTGATAAGCGCAGGGCTCGAGGCTCCTCCTTATGTGCAGACATTATCCTTGTCGGTAATTTACCGACGTGGAACCAGAGATGTTTTCCGGTTAAGTGTTCCGGCTCCCTATTTGCAAGATGTTTTTTGTCGGTAATTGGGAGTGTGTTTACCGACGTGATTTTCATCTACCTCAGTGATTTAATTACCGAGCCGGGCTTTACCGAGGCAGCCATTACCGACGTGATGCAAGTGGGTAGTTTGTTTCACCGACCAGATTCCCTCTTCCTCCGACATGGTTTCTCGTCGGTGATACAGTGAATTCTTGTAGTGACTGCTTATAGCCGCATGTGGATATTGATGACCATAGAAAAAGTATTGATGACATAACAGAATCAGAAAGGGGTAGCCTAGATTATTACAGGAAGAGGTCTCACCATAACAATGAAATTAGATCTGTAAAATTAGAAGATTCTTCACAAAAGGATAATGAACAATCAAGATGGGGCAAACATGAAGACCATGGTCATCGTAAAGACCCAAGAAATAGTGATATGAAGAGACATTGTGAAGGGTACCCTGGAAGCTCAAAAAGACACAAAAGTCATTGTGTGTCTGACAAGTGAATTATACATAGAACAAAAAGAGAAAATTAAGAATCAAGTAGAAGCAAGTATTATGAGAACAAAAGTTCATCCTCTAGTATGAGCAAACATCAGGATCATAGATCATCTTATTCTATGTCTAATCCTGCACATGAGGTTCACAAAAGAAAGTTTGACCTGGATTTGGGAACTAGAGATAGGAGAACTTGTATGATAATTTTAGTTCTGACTTGAAGGAACCGAAGGGATTTGGAGATAGAAATGATCGTTCAGAATCTCAGGACAGCCATTATGCATGAACATGGCATTTTTATTGGAAGCCTTTTTTTTTTTTTTTTTTGCAAGAATAATTTCATCAACGTGCTAGCAGCTCTCCTTATTAATCTGAAAAAGATTTGGGTAGTTTTAGATTTTCGTAAGTTCATATATGCTGATGTTTAAGTGTGGTATTATTTATTTGAATCCAATGTTTAGTATTTGACATGTTTATTCTAATAACTTTGCAATAAGAAGTCATCAAGCTTCAGAACTGACCCAATCTGTATCCTCCTTTGTATCCTT